TACCACTGAGCCACCTTCCCAGCCCCTACTTAACACTTCGTGTAGCTGGAATTATAGGCATGTACTACCATGTCCAGCCCTAGCCTGTTTTATTGTTGTAGCTGTCAGTTTGCTTCTTCCCTCTGCTTTCCCCACACATTTGGGTTTTGTTCTTTCTTGTATGCCTTCCTGTCTGTCTGCCTTCCAGCCTTCCAGCTAGATTCTCCTGTTTGGATGCTGTTTAACACACACACGCATGCCCATTGCTCAGCGTGTCAGGGCTGCTGTACCTCAGGATGAGGACGCTTGGTTCATTTCTGTCCTCATGTGCTTCTTCTGTTGTTGTATTTCCCTCCTTTAGATTCCAAGGAAATAGATCGTGGAAGAGCAAGAGTGAGGCATAGCGAAGGGGGAGACGTCCCCCCTAAGTACTTCGTGGTCACTAATAACCAGCTGCTGCGTGTGAAGTACCTGCTGGTGTACTCGCAGAAGCAGCCCAAGAGGTAAGGAGGAGGCGTGGTTCCTGCCTGGAGGCCAGGAGAGGATGGAGGGGCTGAATTCAGACTCTGATTTCGTCATCATCTGCCCCACTTAGCCCCCGGCCTCAGGCCTCCGCTGTGTCTAAAGCATGGCATGCTCACTGCTGGACAAAGGGAGTCAGGGGGATGCAGGCTGGACTCCTAGGCGACATCAGAATAGATATCTAGAGGAGATTTGGGGACAAGTATTGCGAGATTTATCCACACACAAGGCCTAGGAGGGACTGTATGAAGTCCCGTTGGTGACATCTGACCCCTGGACCCATGATGTCCGTGGTAACCCATTGGTGAGGGTATGCTAAACAGCAGAGTGGTTTCCCGATCCTGGCTGACACTGTGTGTAGGCAGGCTTTGCAGCCACTGCCCGGTCCTCCCTGTATAGGCCTGAGGAGCTGCTCCGCTTCTTTTCCTCCTCTTCTGCCTCCTCTTCCTCTTCTTCCTTCTTCTTCCTTCCTTCTTCTGTGCTGATACTGGGGCTTGAACTCAGGGCCTGGACACTCTCACTTGGCTGTTTTGCTTAAGGCTGGCACTCTACCATTGAGCCACACTTCCACTTCTGATTTTTTTGCTGGTTAATTGGAGCTAAGACTCACACAAACCTTTTTTTTTTTTTTTTTTTTTTTAATTTTATTTGACCTGGCGTAGATTTGAACTGTGATCCTCAGATCTCAGTCTCCTGAGTAGCTAGGATTATAGGTGTGAATCACCAGCACCTGGCCCAGGACTTTTCTTTTCTTTTTGGTCAGTCATGGGGCTTGAACTCAGAATCTTGGTGCTGTCCCTGAGCTTTTGAACAGGCTGGCTTTGAACCATGATCCTCACATCTCAGCTAGGAGGCATGAACAACTGGTACCCTGCAGGACTTTCAACTTTTCACTCTTGAAATGAGGGTGTTGAGGCTGGGGGGGGGGCGGGGGGGTTGTAGCTTGGTGGTAGAATGCCTGCCTTGCTTATGTGGGACTCTGGGGTTTAATCCAGTGCTATAAAAGATAAAAACAAGCAAATAAAGTGAGAATGTTGGACCAAATAGTAGGCAAGGTTTTCCAGCCCTGAAGAACTGTGGTGATTGCCTGGTCCTAGCTAAGTAGTGAGGCAGTGGGAAGACCTACAGGGAACTCAAGATGGAGGTTAACACTGAGATCTTTTTCTTCTCCTTCTCCTCTTTCTTGTTGGTATTGAGGTTTGAACTTAGTGCCTCAAGTCTCAGCTTGCTTGCTCCCAGCTGGCATTTTACCACTTGAGCCTCACCTCCAGCCCAGCTTTTTGTTAGTTATTTTGTGAGAGTGGAGTCTCACAGACGTTTCTGTCTGGCCTGGCCTCAAAACTTCATCCTCCAGATCTCAGCCTCCTGAGTAACTGGGATGACAGGTATGAGGTACCAGCACCTGGCTTTCCCTTTGTGATCTTGTCAGAATGTTGGGGTCCAGCTGCAGGTCAGCAGCAGGCAAGCAGGATGATAGGAAAAGGGGTTACTTTTAGTAATCTTGTTCTTACTCAACCAGTGGTTTCCATGTTTCTGAATTTCAGAAACCACTAAAATCCACTCCCCACTCCCAAATTTGGGACTCTCTACAGGATTCCTGAGTTCCTGAGTCTAGGAGACATCCATTGGTTTAAAAATCAGGTGACGTGGAGCTGGGAAGTTGGCTCAGTGGTAGAGTGCTTGCCTTGCATGCATGAGGCCCTGGGTTCAATTCCTTGGCACCAGAAAAAGCCAGATGTGGCGCTGTGGCTCAAGTGCTAAAGTGCTAGCTTGAGCTGAAGAGCTGAGGGACAGCGCCCAGGCCCAGAGTTTAGGCCCCATGACTGGCCAGAAAACAAAACAAAATCAGGTGACTTTTTTGATGTAAAAATTCCATTTACTTCACACTTCTTTGTGGAGTTTTTTTTTGTTTTTTTGTTTTTTTTTTAAAATTTAATTTAATTTTATTTGTGAACATACTGTACAGAGGGGTTACAATTACATGGGCGGATAATGCATACATTTCTTACCAAGCATTGCAGCCTCCTCCTTTGTTTACCCTTCACTTCCCTTCCCAGCCTCCCCCCTCCCCCCCATGGAGTTTTTTTTTTTTCTTTTTGGTGCTGGTCTTGGGGCTTAAACTCAGGGCCTGGATGCAATCCTTGAACATTTTGGTCAAGACTAGTGCTCTATCACTTGAGCCACAGCTCCACTTTCTTTTTTCCTTTTTTTTTGGTCAGTTGTGGGTCGTGAACTCTGGACCTAGGCACTGATCCTCAGCTTTTCAGCTCAAGGCTAGCACTCTACTACTTGAGCCACAGCACGATTCCCAGTTTTCTGGTGGTTAATTGGAGATACGAGTCTCACAAGCTTTCTTGCCTGGGCTGGCTTTGACCTGAGATCCTCAGCTCTCAGCCTCCTGAGTAGCTAGGATTACAGGTGTGAGCCATGGAAGCCCAGCTCACTTCTTTCTTTTTAAAAGTTCATTAGAGATAAGAGTATCGTGGACTTGCCTGCCGCACCTGGCTTCGAATGTGATCATTAGATCTCAACCTCTTGAGGAGCCAGGCTACAGGCATGAGCTGGAAGTGTGTCTTTTGTGCAGACTTGGATGTCTTAGAACATCTCCCAATGGGCCAAAGAGGATTTCCCCAGCTCACATTTTCATGCACCAAGTGAAAAGATCTTTTTACTCAGTAACCTGTTGCCATTTGGGCTGACTCCCCTGAGTGCCGTCATTCTTTTAGATACCAAAGTCTTGCTTAAGAATAGATGGGTTATGAAAGGTAAAAGAAAAAAAAAAAAAAGGAACTTAGAAAAGGGGAACTCAGGGTGAGCTCATTGCCTAGCTGTCCTTGTACATTTAGAAAATGTTCTGTTGAAAGAGTCTTTGATGCCAGAGCAAACAATCCCAGATTTCTCTAGTAAGGCAGCACGAAACTTCTTACAGCTCACGCAGAGGATGAAATTCATCATTTCATCTTCTTTGAGCCAGTACTTGCTGGATACACTTTTTTTTTTTTTTTGGTTTTTTTAAATGTTTTTCTCCTATTGCAACATCACTCATTTTCTCCTTTAAGCAGAGCATCGAGCCAATTCTCCTGGTTTTCCAGCCATTGGTTTATGGTCATGATGTCCCTATATCTGCTGCTGCTGCTTTTAGTAAGCATCATCAACTCCAATACCTTCCAGCACTTTTGGAATCGTGCAAAGAGATGATCATTTGGGCACTTGGTATGGGCACCCACCTCGGCCACACGCCTTAAAATCCTCATTCTTCTACCTCTGGTGCCTCACTCAGCCAAGCCTGAGGACCAATTGTGGGACCACAGGACCATTTTCCAGATGCAATCAACGGACTGTTTGCCTTTGAAGATGTTCCCAGACATACTTTAGTCAAGTTGTGTGTGTAGGGGAATGTCTGGCTTCTCACTGGAAGGTTCCAGAGGAGCTCTTCTAACCACTGCTTCCTAAACAGTCCTCTGAAATGGACTTTTTTTTTTTTTTCTAGCCAGGGCCAAAGGAAAAAGTCGTGTCACATTTAGGAAGCAAGTGTTCAAGCCATCAGTGGTATGTTGACAATCATTCTTGGCAGAGGTTGGGTGTTTTCTAATGCCTTCTGGAAGGCTGCAGCAGGGAACTATCAATCACGACGCAGGCGGTTGCCTTGTTTTGACTCAAGACACCCAAGAGAGACAGTCATGTTTCTCATAAAAAAAAAAAAAAAAAAACCAGTGCAGTTGTTTTGGGATTCCGTCAGTTTTTGTGTGTGAGTGCAAAACATTTTAACAATTTTCTCAAATCAACAAACTAGCAGGCACTAGAAAAGGAATCAGACTTCTTTTTTTTTTTTAAACAATGAGCAACTCAAATTGTCTCTTTCTTACAAATTACCAACTGCTGATTGAGTACAGCTGAGAAGGGACCAAATGATTCTATTCTGATCTGGGAAGCAAAAAAAAAAAAATAGCTCTTTGACTAATTAGTTTTTGTGAGCTCAGTAGAGCGGGGAAATTGCAAATCCAAGAGCACACCATTTGGCCAGGATCCAGTCTCTTAGCTGTGTTTTATTTGTTTTTTTTTTTTGGGGGGGGGTCCAGTTGTGGGGCCTGAACTCTGGGCCTGGGCGCTGTCCCTCAGCTCTTCAGCTCAAGGCTAGCACTCTACCACTTGAGCCACAGCGCCACT